TTGGGCTTCTTTTCCACATGCTCAATGTTCATGAAGCCACCAGCAACTGTGACTAGCAAAGTGCAGCTGCTCCGTTCCACGCTGGTTGGAGTCAGCTCTTTTCAGAAGCCAGTGCTGCCTTCCTGCAGACAGTGTAACTGCTCCGATCTGGGGAGAGAACGGAAGGTGCTCGAACCAGCCTGCTCTGGCTGGCTGCTCAGGAAGCTGGATTTTCAATTACAGAATATGTGTACTTTATGTATATAAATATATATATTTACAGAACTGTCTCAGTACAGATGCACAGAGTAGGATAAGCAGGGGAAACTGATGCTGCCCTGCATTCTTACACATGTAATTCTAGGCCAGATAGGAAGAAAAAGACTCTGGTTTAGCAAGTTTGGGCAAAAATGCCCCCATTCCCACCAACTCCCCAATTTCTGCATTTGTATTTATTTATTTATTTGTATACTTGCACAACATTGGTGTAGACAGGGTTAACCAGAACAAAGTTAGCTGAGGGGCATAAAAAACAGCCTCTTGTGAGAATAGGCCCATGTCTCTAGATAACAGTGATGAAGGGAAAAGCAGAACACGGATTGTGAGGCCAAGCTGCTGTCTGCAAAGCCTGAGACAGCAGGGCTGTAACAAGTTGCTCGTGGCACTGCAGGTTATTCAGAATACATCTGTGGGAGGAGGAGAAAATATCAAGGTCATTTGGCAGGAAACACGCTGTCAGGTAGTAGTGAGATTCCTTCCCTTTTGTCAGACACTTCCCTCATCGGATGGTTTGGGGGGTTGTGCTTGCACCATTTTTTTCTGTAAGTCTAAAGTACAATTGCAAGGGCTTGCTCCTGGATGCAGGAGAGGACATTGACACCAAAGCAGGGTGTGTGCAGCTACCATTTCTGTAATCTCTGAAGTCCTGCAGAACTGCCTGTGGTAAGAACCAGGGAGACATATGTGAGGCAAAGGATCTCAGACATGCAGAAACCCAGCTGGCAGCTCCCGCTCTGGGTGCTGTGCTCTGTGAATTCCATGGTGGACCCCTCTCCCAGCCCAAATGTGGCCTGCAAATGCCGGAGCTCACTTGAATGATTTCCGCTGTCCTCAACTGCCTGAAGTTAGGCTGAATCTGGTGTTCTGCCTCAAGCAAGGGAGTGTCCAGCTGGACTTGAACTTCACATGATGCCTTTTAGCAGGCAGGGTGGTGATGAGTTTACAGTTGGACTCTGATCTTGAAGATCTTTTCCAACTATTATGATTCTTTGTGGAGAGCTTTGACAGAGTCATATTCTGGAGCTTTGCTGTAGTACATGTGCCTGAGTGATTTTATTGGTATCTCCTTTGGCTGTTCTTCTTTTTTATTTTCCCCTCTCCACTTCCCTCCCTACTTGCCTCCATCTTCTTTGGAATCGTGACTTATAGCTGTTGTTGCAGAAGACTCCAAGGCAACAGTCAGATCATGG